CAATGCTGAATAAAAATTTGCGCTCACCGCAAATCTTGAAACTCGAAGATAAGACGAGAAATATCTGAGGCAAAGAAGAACCACTTGTTAGAAACAAATTTGGATGATCGTTGTGTAAGATCTCGAATGGATGTTTCATCACATAAATAGGTAATGTTTCTTCGAGTTTTGATACTTCTGGATCAATAGTTCTACATTGTTATAAATAAAGGATAATCATTGTTTAATATTAATATTCTAGACATGCAATGTTCGCAGAGTGTCAAAACTTGTAATCGTGTTGCCTAATTATGTCACACAGAGTTAGTCATTTGAAATAACAAAATGCTCGTTGCGATCAAATTGGATCATCGATCAATGTTACTCGACGATATCGATCGAAAAGAACTAACGCGAAAAATGGCACATAATACATTAGCTCTTAAAACAGATAGCAATGATAATTGAGAAACTGTAAGCGCTTATATAAATTCCGATCGATTTTACCTTTATTCGTGTTCGGCTCCAATTTCTGTCTCAAAGATGATAAATATTTTAGAATGTTATTTTATAACGTTCTACGTTGTATCAAAAGTCGTTGATCGATTATTAATAATTATTATAAAATTTTGCCTCCAAGTACTGCATCTCACTAGGATACGCTAATCAAAAGGAACAGGTATTAATTTATTATATTATTAGTTATTATATTATATTTATTATTATATTATTATATTATATGTTATATTATTATATTATTATTATAATATATTAATATATATATTATTATTATAATTTAATATATATTATAATTATTATAATTAAATATATATATTATTATTATAATTTATTATATTATTAGTTATTATATTATATTTATTATTATAATATTATGTTATATTATTATATTGTATGTTATATTATGTTATATGTTATATTATATGTTATATTATATTATTATATTATATGTTAATTTATTATATCATTATATATATGTTATGTTATATTATTATTATATTATTATATTATATGTTAATTTATTATATTATTAGAATATACGAAGTTGTAATTGCAGAATGAGAGCAATGTATCACGTGTTATTGGAATATACACGCTACGCGTCAGGTATCGGTAAGAACATTTCTGGTATTGCAAAAAGTATTCGTACGATGCCACGTGTAAAGTTTGCCGGCAGCTGCTGAAATATCCGATACGTCTAGAAAGATTTCCAATACGCCCTGCTGCATTTTTAACAACCATGTAAATTAACTTAGACGAGAATGTTCACATGTTGTTTTCTGTTTTCTCTCCGTGTGATGGTTTAGTGAAACAGGGAAGGTAAAATTAGCGTTTAAATGGCTTGGTTGCGCAATCAATCCTTCGATGAATGAAACTTGCCGCTTGGGGAACTTTGTAACACCGTATCGGTATCCTTGGTAGATCGTTTTGACATTGATACTGCTGATCTGTTGATTTATTACGTACCTACGTGTACATATGTAGTTACGTACGTGTGTATACGATACAAGTAGCATTCCAATGCTACAATATGGAAATAAAATGCACAGTAGTTTTAGACTTTTTTTTTTATTTATTTAAACTCTTTTTAGATTTACTTTGAATTCCGATGATTAGTAATGATGGCCAGTAGCAAATCGAGTAAACGCAAATATTAGGGAAATATTACTGCCAGTACAGTGATTTTGGTATCACGCTGTCTGATACGAAAAAAAAAAAGAAAGAAATGAAACGTGAATGGAAATTTTCAATTCTCAATTTCCAATTTCGTGGAATTGTTATTACGAAAGTTATTGTTTATGTTTATTTTCGTGAAACACGTTGCGAAATGTTTGTGCGAGCCAGCGAAAAATTTTACGCGGCCCGCGAATTTTTATACCGTTGAGGAATTCCAGCTTATTTTTGTAATTACAAATTTGCAATTGCATTTGCCTCGCATTTTATCCCTGTCTTTATAATAAAGTCAATTAGTCGAGTGAACAAAATCAATAAAATCCACGACGTGTCAAATCGAAAGAGACGAAAATTTGGCAATATATCAGTATATTAATATATTTCATTTAATATCCTAAATTTTCGAAGAAAATGTCAGTTTTTAATTAAGTTTTTTTATTAAAAATTGAAACTAATTCTTCGTCATTACTGACAATTGTTCTGGGAAAAAAAATACATATATACATGTTAAAGATCATTAAAGAACTAAAGATTCAAGAAAAAAGACTAAAGAAAAAAGACGCAAGAAACG